TAGGGGTTCAAACCCTCCCCGAAATGTTTCAGATTTTTTAAAAAACTGGTTTACTCATGAATTTTAACTGGTTAACCAAATCCCCATGCTAAGTCTATGAGATGCAAAAAATCAAGAGTCCCTCCAGAACTGCAAGCACTATCTCAAGCAAATATTGACAATTTATTCACACTGTCATTACTTGCAGCAATAGCCGATGTAGTGAAGCAACCAAGTTGGGTGTGTGTGTGTTGAATGCTCTCATTAAGGAGGCCAGACTTGGTGGAGGTGGTTGACAGGGGCGGAGCTGCAGGCTATGGAAGGCTGCTCTGCCCCTTGCTGTGCTCTTTGCTTCAGCGTGAGCTAGGAGGCAGGTTTCAACCCCCCCCCCGAAATTTTCAACCACTCCCAAAAAATTTTTCTGGCTACGGCCCTGATCAGGGGTCCTCGTGGACAACAAGTTAAACATGAGCCAGAATGCATGGCTCGAATATTGTCCAATTCTGGGCACCACAATTGAAGGGAGATATTGACAAACTTGAATGTGTCAAGAGAAGGGCGACTAAAATGATCAAGGGTCTGGAGAACAAGCACTAGGAGGAGTGGCTTAAGGAGCTGGGCATGTTTAGCCTGAAGAAGAGAAGGCTGAGAGGAGATATGATAGCCATGTATAAATATGTGAGAGGAAGTCACAGGGAGGAGGGAGCAAGCTTGTTTTCTGCTTCCCTGGAGACTAGGATGCGGAACAACGGCTTTAAACTACAAGAAAGGAGATTCCATCTGAACTTCAAGAAGATCTTCCTGACTGTGAGAGCCATTCAGCAGTGGAACTCTCTGCCACGGAGTGTGGTGGAGGCTCCTTCTTTGGAAGCCTTTAAACAGAGGCTGGATGGCCATCTGTCAGGGGTGCTTTGAATGCAATATTCCTGCCTCTTGGCAGGGGGTTGGACTGGATGCCCCATGAGGTCTCTTCCAACTCTATGATTCTATGAACCCCTTTAAATAAAGATAATTATTTGTCTGGAAATGCATGCAGTGTTTGTTTTGTTGACACCGGCACATCAAGAGCTTGCCAGCAAGCCTTGTCATTTGCATATCACTGAAGAATTGGATTTTCTTTATGGCATGCAAAATTCATTAAAACCACTTTGTTTGTGTGCTTTTGGTGTCCAATAAACCATCAGGTGTCCAATAAGCAACACCAGAGGCACTCCAAGTGGTCGGATACTGGTTAAAGGACATTTAATCAACTACCAAGCTTGCAAACTTTGTGTTTTGTCCGTTGGTTTGTTTTGCTAAAAATGTAATACAAATGTCTGGTTGCTCCTGGCACGATAAATAGCCATCAGAAGTGAGCAGTAGATGTTGTTGGGTTGCAACTGCACGCATTCTTCACTATTGACTGCACTGGCCTGGTCTGAAGGGAGCTGTCATCTAAACAAGATCTGGAGGGCCAAACTTTACTCTTCCCAGAATTATATGGTTTTTAAAAGCATGTGCCATGCCTTCATGGTAGATATAGGAAATACAATATTGCCCCCTGGTGTCTAAAAAATACATCTTATTTGCTCAGCTAAGGAAGTTGATAACACTTGGCTAATAGTTCGTTCAACTATACAGCCCCCTTCTTACCCCCACCCCCCAAAAAACTCCCAAAAGCAAACCTTGATATTTCCATTTTGTGTAAAAGATACCATTTTACTACACCATTGTATTTAAGGTGATTTGGGCATCCACAAATTTTGGTATCCATTGGATGGGAGTTTGGAATCATAGAATCATAGAATCAAAGACTTGGAAGAGACCTCATGGGCCATCCAGTCCAACCCCCTGCCAAGAAGCAGGAATATTGCATTCAAATCACCCCTGACAGATGGCCATCCAGCCCCTGTTTAAAAGCTTCCAAAGAAGGAGCCTCCACCACACTCCGGGGCAGAGAGTTCCAGAGAATCAAACCTCAACAGATGTCAAGGGCCAATTTAGTTTCAAATTCAGCTGTGAGTCCCCTTGAAATTTTTTGAACTTGTCGCAGATAATATCTTGGCAGTGTTTATGACACCTCCGTAAGGTGGACAAAGACCATTAGCCTCACACTGAAGTGTAGGGAAAAAGAAAGGTGATGGGATTGTAACTGAAAAGAGCATTTATACTCAGGCATGTACATTTATGTATTTTTATTTATTTTTGGTATTTCTATCCCGTTTCTTCTCAGCCCCTGAAAGGGGATTCAGGATGGCTTACATTTGGCAGCAATTTGATGCCACTACATGTAACAGAGCAATATAATGAATGAATTGTTTATTGTACTAGCCATAGGCCATGACATCAGTAAAATACTAACTTTATAAACACTTTCCAATATAAACCTTAAAACGTAACAAGAATTAAAACTAAAACAAGTTCTTTAAAATTATGAAAGCAGAAACATTACAATAACAGTGTCTGCTTTGTGTCATTCCAAACCGTTTCCATTTCTGACCCCCAGTATGGATTTTGCTACTTTGGCTCTGATCTTTTGGGCTGCGATTGCAAATGTGGCAACCTTTAGTGTTATATTTTTAGAATGATCTGCTAGCAAGTCGCAGATCACCGCAGATTGTTGCCATGATGCCCTTTCTTCCAAGAGTGATCCTAGGAGATTTTTCCTAGGGTCATTGTACAAGGGGCAGTGTAGCAAATAGTGTGTTAGGTCTTCTATTTCCCCTGTGCCACAAATGCAAAGTCGTTGGGCATGGGGGATCCCTCTGTATCTTCCCTCTAGCCAGTTTGATGGCATTGTTTGGAATCGCAGGGCTGTAAATGCTTTCCTCAGGACCGCTGACGCTAGGTCTTGAAGATATTGTTGACGATATTGGTTACTTTTTAGCCGAGGATACCAGGTAGAGAAACCTTGCAGTTTGCTAATCTGCAAGTTGTCAGCTGCATCCCTCTCAAAGATTTTGTCTCTAATCGCTTTCTTGTCCAGATGCATTAGGGTATTTGTTGACCCATCAAAGTACTGAAGGAGAAAGGCTTGCCAGTATTGTGCCCAGGGCACAATAATAGCAATATAACAGAGAAATATAATAACAATTAAAACAATAAGTAAAACGTATTGTCGAAGGCTTTCATGGCTGGAATCACTAGGTTCTTGTGGGTTTTTTCGGGCTATATGGCCATGTTCTAGAGGCATTTCTCCTGACGTTTCGCCTGCATCTATGGCAAGCATCCTCAGAGGTGAGGTCTGAGGATTAATGAAAGTAAAACATTCATTAAAACAGTAACAACAGTATTAATAGCCGCATTTATTTATTTATTTATTTGCTATATTTCTATACCGCCCTTCTCAGCCCGAGGGTGACTCAGGGCGATTTACAAACTCATGGCGGCGCATCATCATTCCAGTCAATTCCATATCCAATTCCATGTCCAAAGTGCTATCTATGTCTGTTGTCCAAAAGATTTGTCCCAGAACCACGACTTCAATTTGTTCCTAAATGACAGGAGGGACGGAGCTAATCTTACCTCAGTGGGAAGGGAGTTCCACAGGCGGGGGGCCACAGCCGAGAAGGTCCTGTCTCTCATCCCCGCCAAACGTATTTGTGATGCTGGCAGGAGCGAGAGCAGGGCCTCCCCGGATTATATTAAACTGTGAAGCAAGACGTAGAGCAGTGGTTCTCAACCTGGGGTGCCCAGATGTTTTTTCATGATTGCTGATTGCTTTTCCAGAGGCAAGGCAGCTTCCTTGTAGATTTCCCCCAAGGAGAGGGGAACGGGGCAAAAGGGTCACTGCAAGATCAAATACATGAAGGGAAATATAGAAATACAGGAGAAAATATGAACATACAGAAATCATAATACAGAGAGTAAACTCAACTACCTTCCCCCAGTGTCCATAGTTCATATTATTCATAGGAAGATCCATAAAGGGAAATATCCATGAGGGGGAAAGAGAGTCCCTTGTTTGTGAGATGGGGGACCATCAGGAGCCCAGGTGTGCCTCAGATGGAAAAATTCAAATACTTTTGTGGCATGATTTTCAGTAATAAATTGGTTACTTTCTGCTGTAAACATATGAAAATAGAGCATAAAGCCTTGATTAAATGATACACACCAAACTGACCAAGGCTTAACCCTTATTATCCAGCCTGGTGTCCTTGCCCTTAGCAAAACTATAAGTTACTATCTCTTATGGGGAGTGGGGGTGGGGTAATGTTCGACTTCAATAGTTCAGTTCAGTTCACAAAGCAACATTCTGCTTTTTATGGCAAACTGGATGAACAGATGGTAGAATTTGGAAAAGTAGTTTCTGGAGAAGTTGTGACTGTGCAGTGGTTGAAGAAACCACAGACTTGTTTGAATTCATAGACAGTTTACAAAATTATCTTAATAAAGGTGCGAATTCTGTGATACTCCAGATAATGTTGGACTTTAACATGCATCACCTTTGGCTCGAGCTGGAGTCCAAAAATGGCAGGAGAGCCACACAATTCCTATCTCAGTGTTATAAAAAATATCTTCAAAAAGTTAGCAAGCGCATAGAAAACAATTGTATCCAGTGCTTGCACTTTAACCACGGTTGTGAAAAACTGCAGATTCAGCACCCCGGTAACAGGTTTTTAGTTCTTTTTATTTTATATTCAAGGGTCATTTCTCCATTTCATCATTTTTTCAAAAGTCATTTCAAAAGCAATTACTCTCCCCGTTGTGGAAGCAGTTATTTCTTAAAAAGCAAAACAGCATGACTGTCAAGGACCAGGAATGTGGAGAAAAATCCTAAAATATTTATGGAGGTATAAATCAATTTCTGAAATAAAACAAACATTAATGCTTTTCATGTTGACTAGGACTTTCATATGCAGCAGTGCTGATTGATTGTATGTTAAGGGACGCACAGTTATTTCAAGAGTCATAACACAATCACTAAAACAAGCCCTGAAGAGTCTACTGATTTCTCATCATCATCATCATCATCATAAGAAGAAGACTTGGTGGCTGCAGTTTCATTCCTGTATTTATACGAGTTCTTTGTTTATTTCTAGGTTCTACATTGAAAGCATCTCCTACTTAAAAGACAATGCAACCATTGAATTGTTTTTCTTAAATGCAAAGTCTTGTATTTACAAGGTAAGCCCTTGAGTTTTCTTCTTGTGTTATTGATATTGAACAGATATTTTGGGAGGTGTGTTTTTCTATAGATTCAAAAGGCCAGAATGAAATATTTAATCCCAATTGGGGTAAACCCACTAATTCAGTGGGAACTTGATCAGTCCACTTCGAAAAAGTACTGATCTAGCAAAATCCCATTGATGCAAAGGATTTAGGCAAAATAGGATCTGCTCCACCTTTGTAGTTCAGTGCATATATCTGGAGTGATTATTGCAAATATCAATCATTCCTAATTAATATTTATCTTTCATAAAGATGTTAAATGCAAGGATCCCTGCCTTCAACAAATGGAGCCCCCAGTGGCACAATGGGTTAAACCAGGGGTCCTCAAACTAAGGCCCGAGGGCCAGATACGGCCCTCCAAGATTATTTACCTGGCCCTGCCTCAGGTTCAACAACTTGAAAGCACACAACAACAACAACAACAACAACAACAAAACAACAATCCTATCTCATCAGCCAAAAGCAGGCCCACACTTCCCATTGAAATACTAATAAGTTTATATTTGTTAAAATTGTTCTATATTGTTTTTAAGTGTTATTTACAGATTTTATATTCTTCCCTTCTCACCCCGCAGGGGACTCAGGGCGGATTACAGTGTACACATATATGGCAAACATTCAATGCCATTTTTGACATACAAACATATACAGACATACACAGAGGCTATTTAACTTTTTCTGGCCGCCAGGGGAGCTGTCGCTTTCATCGTCCATCTGCGACACTGATGAAGCACTTCCGCATTCCCCGCATACTTCCCCTTATAATATAATATAATATAATATAATATAATATAATATAATATAATATATATTGTATAAACATATAATATTTATAATATTATAATGTAATGCAATATAATACTAATAATAACATGATATTATAATTATATATTTATATTACATGTAATATTACTAATAATATTACAATATAATTGGTATAGCACAATATAGCAATATTTAAAACTGATATTGTACTATGCTAATAATATAATATATTGTACTAGCTGTGCCCTGCCACGCGTTGCTGTGGCCTATAGTAAAACTTATCAAAGTTGAGGTAGATATCTGGACTATTATGAAAGAGAGGTACCTACCTATTCCTTCCCCCTTTCTCTCCTTTCTTCCTTCTCTACCTCTTTCTTTCTTTCACTACTTGGTTTCATCCTTCTTTCCTTTGCCTTTCTTCCCTCCCTGTTTGCTTCCTTCTTTCACTTTTTATTTCCTTTTTTTTCACCACCATCATAACAATAACAATAATGCAATGCATTGCCTCTGGGACCTGACACCTCTCCCATTCCCCCAGGGTCTCATAGGAACAATAGCATAATAATAATAATAATAATAATAATAATAATAATAATAATAATAATAGAAATAACAACCTTTACCCGCCACGTGTTGCTGTGGCCAATCTTCCTTCTTTCTCTCCTTCTTTCCCTCCTTCTTCCTTCCTCTTCTTTCTTTCTTTCTTTCTCTTTTTCCTTCCTTTCTTTCTTTCTCTTCTCTTTTCCCTTCCTTTTTCTTTTTTCCTTCCTTCTCTCTTTCTTCTTCCTTTTTTTACTAATAAGAC